CACGAGAACCAACTTGTTTTGCTGGTATAAAGATGATATAGATACCAGAAACCCATAAAAATAATCTAAATTTGTTTGCTAGTGAGGTAGAGATTTTAGTTTTTTTAGTTCACAATATAACAGTGTAACCATCATTAGCTGATAGTGAATCCCAGTTTAGAGACACTTTTGTCACTTGTCTTTTTGTTTCATCCAAACATAGACAAAGTGCATGTCTTTGCCTATAAAGTTGTCCTTGCATCTTTTCACGGACACGAAATAGGAAAGAGTAGCAACCGCCAGGCTGTGTCAAATGTTTGTTTAAGAATGTAATTGAGTTAATATACCCAAGAAAGTTAGAAAATTAGACTTCATAAAGTAGGAAATTTTAATATTCCATCTATTTCCAAAAAACTTACAAGGACATCAAGAGAAACATGGATTGACATGAAAGAAAAAAGACGATACCGAACAAAAGACATAACAAAAATCCCCCTTTTTCCCTTTTTTTTTCTCCATCTTCGTCAGAAGAAAACCTGACGGACCCAAACAAAGAAACCAGTGCAGTCGACAGAGACGCAAGCTCCTTGTTGTTATTCCCGTCTCTCTCTCTGTGTTCGCTGCTGGGATCGAAGCAGGCCGTGACGCCGTTGTTCGGCCACCGGTCGATATGTTTATACACAACCCCACGTGCGCAGTGCAGCGTTGCCAGATTTATCTGCCGGATTTCATAGAATGATCAATATACACTATAATATGTCCAAAATTATTCCATATGAATGTTAGGTAAAATTAAAGGACGATTTTCAGTTAGAGAAAGATTTTTAGTTTACGATCATTCACAATACCTAAAAATATAATTATATGTTAATAGAATATTCTAACAACAGCTTGCGGTAGTACGTTGTATCAAAGAAAATCGTAGTTAAGTATCCATAGAGAAATCCTAATAATTAGCTTATAATTCTTTTATTCATATAGTATATAATATCTTTAGTAATAATTTCATATAGTATATAATATCATATAGTATATAATATTTTTATAAGTTTATTGTTATAAACTTATCATTTCTAACCACAATTTCTCTTGACAGATAATAATCAAAGGCCAAAATGACATTACTCCCAAATTTTGAAGTATAATTAGTGACAAAAGTTAATAGTTTGTATACTTTTTCTACTAATTGAAAATTTCTACCACTAATTTTGACTTTCTGAATGCTTACATTGAAATTAGAGGAACAAACACCCCTACGCTAATTGAAACCACTAATTGCGTGGTTCTGAATGAAGCTTTACATTAAAACTAGAGGAAAAACATCTTATGAGTCTTTCCATATTGTCCGGACTTTTCCTCATTATATGTCCAAAATATTTTAGTTGTTTTAGTCGGATTTTACAGGAAATCCTGCTAGTAATATTAAGTTCATTTATAATGAAAACGTTTGTACGGCGTTCAGTCCATGCGATACGGAGAATACGTCTATAACAATACATCCCGGTAGCATCGATCTTTTTACGTTCCGCCTGCCTGAGAGTCCACGATTCGCAGCCATACGTCAATATTGGGAGTACCAAACAGTTGACTAGCCGGTTTTTTATGGGCCTTGAAATCTGGCGGTCTTTCCAGATCTTGGTTAGTCTCCCAACAGCTACCTTTGCCATGTTGCACCTACGCTTCACCTCTTTTTCCAAATATACATAGGAAAATTATAATCAAGATTAAAGTACTAATAATAGTCCAAGATTAAAGTTAAAAGACCAGTAACAAAAAGTATGTCTATCAAAAACTTATGTTTTGTATTTCCTTGCTTCAGGAAAATGTGATATAGGTATACAAAATAATATAAACAGAATAGGTAGGTTAGTCGGCGAATATTGCTTAATAGAAACATCATCATGTATTGGGTCAATGTTAGTCAGCGAACTTATTTTTAGATAGTCGTAATAAAATTTCATAACAGCATCAAGAATAACTATTGAGTTTGTAGTGGAACATCACATTTTAGAAAAATATTGTTTCTTATAAAAATTACATGCATTATACAATAATTTCTTGACGGGTAAATGTAGGGCTCGGTAGTTATAGGATTTAAATTAGTTCACACTGTTCACATATAGTAACATAGTATAGATAACGGTCAATGATATGTTGAATGAAAATTAGAATAATGGATTTGTCTTACTGGAGTTTTACAAAAATAGTAATATATTCTTTTATTCATATAGTATATAATATCTAACTTCGGTAACATAGATCGAAATAAACAGACAATAAAAAATAGGAATATAGGTCAAGAGCTTATATTAATATATTATTCATCTACGTTTCCCCATCGGAAAAGTATGAGCTATAAATTATCGGTCACACAGCACACTCGATTGAACATCGCTGGTATCTAGGTGTACAGTTAGCTTTTATAGATGTGATCATTTACATATTTATAAAAATCGTTCGATGGTACAAACAGGATGAAAACACGACACCAATTTAAGAAAAGTACGAGAACCAACTTGTTTTGCTGGTATAAAGATGATATAGATACCAGAAACATAAAAATAATCTAAATTTGTTTGCTAGTGAGGTAGAGATTTTAGTTTTTTTAGTTCACAATATAACAGTGTAACCATCATTAGCTGATAGTGAATCCCAGTTTACAGACACTTTTGTCACATGTCTCAAATTTTTGTCTCATCCATTTTGTTTGCATCTTTTCACAGACACGAAATAGGAAAGAGTGGCAACCGCCAGGCTGTGTCAAATGTTTGTTTAAGAATGTAATTGAGTTAATATACCCAAGAAAGTTCATCGTACATACCTCATAAAGTAGGAAATTTTAATATTCCATCTATTTCCAAAAAACTTACAAGGACATCAAGAGAAACATGGATTGACATGAAAGAAAAAAGACGATACCGAACAAAAGACATAACAAAAATCCCCCTTTTTCCCTTTTTTTCTCTCCATCTTCGTCAGAAGAAAACCTGACGGACCCAAACAAAGAAACCAGCACAGTCGACAGAGACGCAAGCTCCTTGTTGTTATTCCCGTCTCTCTCGCTCTGTGTTCGCTGCTGGGATCGAAGCAGGCCGTGACGCCGTTGTTCGGCCACCGGTCGATATGTTTATACACAACTCCACGTGCGCAGTGCGGCGTTGCCACATTTATCTGCCGGATTTCATAGAATGATCAATATACACTATAATATGTCCAAAATTATTGCATATGAATGTTAGGTAACATTCAAAGACGATTTTCAGTTAGAGAAAGATTTTTAGTTTACGATCATTCACAATACCAAAAAAATATAATTATATGTTAATAGAATATTCTAACAACAGCTTGCGGTAGTACATTGTATCAAAGAAAATCGTAGTTAAGTATCCATAGAGAAATCCTAATAATTAGCTTATAAAACAATAAACTTTTCATTTCTAACCACAATTTCTCTTGATAGATGATAATCAAAGGCCAAAACGACATTACTTGCAAATTTCGAAGTATAATTAGTGACAAAAGTTAATAGTTTGTATACTTTTTCTACTAATTGAAAATTTCTACCACTAATTTTGACTTTCTGAATGCTTACATTGAAATTAGAGGAACAAACACCCCTACGCTAATTGAAACCACTAATTGCGTGGTTCTGAATGAAGCTTTACATTAAAACTAGAGGAAAAACATCTACGCTAATTGAAACCACTAATTTATTCAACTAATTTTGAGGTTATTGCAAAAATAATAAAGTGAAGTTATCACTAACTTTTGTACATTTACTTTTACTACGAATTTGAATAATAATATGCGTGAAAAAGAAGATAATAAAACCAAATTTGGTCATGGAAAAAAATCATAGATATAGCGAAGTTATACAATACCTACAAATATAAATTATTTTTCCCTAAAGGGGCTCTAATACGCTACAATTTTTAATAAATTCTGAGTTAGTTTTCGTTCCAATTCTTTCTAGTAGTCGTATCCTTTTCCCTCTCACGATCTATGAGTGCCAGCTGCAATTTAAAACTATAAATGTCAGGCGTAGGGTCAAAATTAGTAATTTATAGGGCTCAGTCACAAAAAAAGTGTCGTAGAGGCTTTGGCGCTCTTTGTGTTTGTTAACTTATTTACGATGTAGCTTAAAGCTACGTTGCCTTTTATAATTTTTCTTGTGCAATTCGTAAATGGTTTTATTATTTTCATAACAAGAAAAGTATTATGTATGCTATTTTCGTAACTTGTATTTTGAAAAAAAATATTTCTAAACTTTATTATGTTTAAAAAGATAATTCGAAATCTGTTTTCCTTATTTATAAAAACAGTTAATTGAAATTATAATTTTTAATTACTAGACTGTATATTGGCACAAAGGTTATTTTGTCATTTTTTCTGTTTATACAGAGTGAGTCTGAAATAAGTACAAATATTTTTAGAGGTAGTATATTTCGACTCCAGAAACACGATTATGAGACTTTTTTCGCGAAAAATAATAATATATTTTTTAAAATTACTTTGCAGCGTTTTTTTTTAAAACATTACCACTGCGAACGGCAGCTTTTCATCGGAGAGCAGTCGTAATGACATAATAAGACTCCTCAAACACAAATATAATATTCAAGAAAATTCGTCAACACGTATAGTTTGTAAAAAAATCACCGATAAAAGGTACCGATAAAAATTAGAAACTTTGGCAACGCCGCCTACGGGGATGTCATAAAAATTAACTGCGCTCGAAAAGGCATCGGCTCCAAGGACAAAGGATTCGCTCGATTTTCGTCCTTATGCCCGATGTACATATGAGCCAAAACATTGCCGGGCGATAAGCGGCAGCGGCGTTGCCGGCTGGTGTGCATTTTACGAATTTATGAGGAAAAACAGAACGTAAACAAACTATGTTAGAGACTATTTTAGCTTTATAGTCACTGTTATTCACAGTGACACAATTTCTATTGTATTATGGCAGGATTAAATAAATAATCAATGGAAAAGCATATTTTAACAATATTTTTTCTTTTTTTCAGAATTTGACTCGTGTTGTCTACCAGTGCACATTCAGAGGATGCAGCAAATCATCAAATACCTGCAATGATATTGAACACCATGTTAGAACAGAACATAAGTAAGTAAATACAATTATTGTGTTCTATATTAATATACAGAGTGTACCAATATTTCGTGGAAATTCCTATCGCGTTCAAATCGCATTTACGCCAACTTATATAAAAACTCCAAAAGTTACTGTGAAATTCAATACCAACATAAGAAACTAAATATTGATCGACGTTCTACTGAACGCGAGTTGGTGCAACGCAATCCAAGTTCAACTTTGACCAACCGATCAGTTGAACTCTTGTTCAGTTTATTTTGGTACAACCGGGCCTAACAGGACATTGTCTCCTCAACGATCACTTCAGTAGTTTGAAGCTAAGCAACAACGGTGAATGCAGATTCTATGGGGAAAATGGGGAAACACCAGAACGCATCATCATTGAGTGTGCCGAGACGATAACCATTCGTGCCTTACATACATACATACTGCCATTACTCGCTGACGAGTATTTGACACGTATTAGAAGTTGGTCACGCAAGGCGTTTTCTTTCATGAGCTTTTCTGTGACTAAAAAGCCCGATACGTGATGTTATCTGTCTACCGCACTCCAGACATTCAAAAATCTCATTGCTTTGTTGCCTCTTTACTTTTTGGTTGTCGCTGTTAACTGACTTTACAATTCTTCTCCATTCCGTTCTATTGTGAGTTGCCTCTTCCCACTCATTCTGCTTGTTAATTCCCTTTAAGTTTTCATGGAAAATATCCTTGTACCTTTTGAGTTGTCCACCCGGCCTCCTCTTACCGTCTACAAGCTCACCGTAAAGCAGAGATTTTGGTATGCGGTTTTCTTGCATCCTGCAACATGACCAGCCCATCTTAAGCGGGACTTTGTAATCATGCCTTCAATACTCTCGCAGTTAGCCTTTTCAAGGACAGATACGTTTGAGACATGATGGAACCATTTTATTCTTAAGAGTTGTCTAAGGTGTCTCTGTTGCAACTTGTTTAATGCGTTCATGTGTCGGCGGTACGGCACCCAGGTTTCGCTTGGTGAGAATTATTATTGCTCGGTACACTGCAAGATGGTACCGCGGTTGGTGCGAAAACCCGTTTGCGATTCTTGGAGGATTTTTTCTATATGTGGGTGCAGGCGGTTTGACATAATTTTTGCAAGAATTTTTCCTCCGATAGCCAGTAGTGAAATTCCTCGGTAGTTTCCGCAGTCTGATGCACTTCCTTCCATTCGTGCCTTAAACTTTGGTACGACTCATAATATCGGAGATGGAGAACTAACCTGTCTAAATCCGTCTCAGAGACTAGCTTTTATCAAAGCGCTGAGACTGTATGATGAGTTTTAACTCAAGAAAGGGGGACAAAATATATCTGTAAGGTATACATTCTACATTCTAGATCTCTCTGGTACTCTGGTGTAATAGAAATAATAAAGAACATAACAAATGTTGTTGATAAACAAATTCTACTGTTTATAACAACTTGAAAGTTCTTAAAAAAATATCTGAACACGTATAAACAGATATTTTATCAAAACAAATTAAGTCACAAGGCAAAAATAATTCGGCAATAACATATACACATTAAGTTATTGAGTAGGAAAATATCCAAGGTTAGTTCGCCGGCCTTGGACCGTTATTGTTAAATTCCGGTAAATAAAAATGTGAGTACTGTTCTGTGGCTAGTTGCAAAGCATTAGACAGTATTTCGGCAGTGCTCGTACCGAAAAACTGTTATGGTCTAAAGGTGTTCCTATACGTTAGAATTTGTCGTGCTTGGTTTCTAACGCTGTTCAAATACACGATTTTAGTATTTGAACAACTATCAATGACTGAAGTGAATTATTGTCATCCGTGTTCTCTATTTAATTTCAAAATGTCTATTTATAGCTATATAGATTTGTTTCAAAATTCTTATCTATTATACTGAGTCGTTTTTGAAATAAATATGAAAATTTCTAGATATTTCTGCAAATTTAAAGTTGTATCAAAATTAAAGGAAAGGTGCTCGGTGACGTAGAGGTACAGGCTCCCGTCTACCAATCTCAAGGTGTGGGTTCAATTCCCATACCCGGCAGCATATGCGTAATTCGCCGACACATTAGCCGCTCGGATTAGGTCGGGTACAACGACGGGCGGTTGCTAAAGTACCAACGTATTAGACTAGTCCCAGCCCTTATGCGTCGGTGATTTACGAAAACGAAATACCTACTGTTGTCTGCATATTGCATTACAGTATAGGTTATGGTAAATCGAGAACTGTTAGAAAATTATACAAAACAGACTTGAACAGAAATTATCTTTAATACTAAAATTAAAATTACTTTACTTTTTTTATTTTCTTCCATTTAAAATAAGCAATATGATTTTCAAAAATTTTATGAAGCAATTTCCAATTTGTCATTTTTAGTACAAAATTCTAACTAAAATTTTGTTAACTTAAAAAAATACGTTCTGTTAGATAAATTATTAATAGCGAAATGATGATGGATTATTCTGTTTATAGAAATTACTAAACAACTTAAGTCTAAGAAAAACATATTATCAAAAAAATATATGAATAGAAAAAAATAAAGACATATTTTTATTTTTTGGATTTATTACCTCCTAATACCATATTTTTTTTTATTTTTTGTCTGGAAGAAATTGTTTGATAGTTACTAATAATTTTACTGGACAGTCTATATTTCGCGAAGTTCTTTTGCGGCTCGCTTTCCTATTTTTCTTTTGTTTGCCATCAAAATGGCAGTGATAAAATCTCTTAAATGCTTATTAGACGTAGTCTCAGACCCAATCTTAAAATGTTTTTGAAACTCTTTCAAAAAATTATCTTCTAACATTTATAATAAAGGCAGTTATCCATTCTATAATAAAATAATAATAAACTAAAATTTACTCGCTAACCAGTTTTAAGCTTCCATGCCAATAATAGAGTGATTGGAGCCTTAATAAAGGGTAAGTTAAGTTTTAAGACTTATCGCAAGTACCGTATGATCGCAAAAAAACAGCGTCTAGTTGGTTTGGAAATGACGATCATGGACATTCCTTATATAATTTTACATACAAAATGACAGCTATCTTTATTTCCAAGCCAACTCAGACGCCATTTTTTTCGATCGTATGGTATATCTAGCATTCATATGAAAGCGCATAATTCTTTTGCGCAGTATAAACAAAAGCATGTTATCTGCGCTATTACTATTTATTTTGCATTAATGATACATTAATAACATTATTCTTGTTATTTAATTTCTCTGCAAAAAGCAACATATCTAAAATCTGTTTTTATCAGTAATCTTTTTATCAGAGATTATTTATCAGGTACAGTTGGTAATGTCTTAAAATCAATGTCTTTGAATTAGCAATCTGCTTGATATGTGCTAATCACTGGAAAACAATGAAAACCAATACATACGATCACTGATTGATCATAAAAATTACGAGTACCCATTACAGACGCAGATCAAATTAATCCGATTTACAAACTTGCGAAGAAAGAAACAATATTTTGAGCGCATCGTAAATCGCCGACGTATTAGTCTAATACATCGGTACTTTACGCAGCACCCGAACTTTCCCGAGCGGCTAATGTGTCGGCGAATTCCGAATATGCTACCCGGCATTTCATCAGCCGATTATTTTTGTTAAACTAAAAATAAGTTTGGGTACCTAGGTCGACTCAGCCTTAAATGAGTACTTGGGATTCACAATCCTGAGGTAATGATAGGCGGTTGAAGCGTAGTGCTACCCACATTACCTTCCTTGTATACCGAACGGCTCTAGTATAGCAAGCTGTACCTTGCTACTCCCAAGGCATTAAACGCTATATACGGGAGCTATTATTATATTATCAAAATTAAAAAATTGCATATTTTTGGTAATATTTAATAAATATTTTATTTATTGTCTTCTATCCCTTGGTGGGCTGGTACCCCGAGTAGAGTACTTTATTTTCTTTAACTAATGTTTCAGATTCTCTAGGCATTGTTTGACCAACTTCGAACTGATGGTTACTGAGTTGATCATTTTTAATTTAATTATTTTTATAGGAGATAGACGAAAACTAGTATCGGTGTCTGGAGCCCAATTTTTATCAAAAACATGATGGTGAAAACCGCACATCGATATCTATTACCGTTTCGGAGTTATGGGGTGTTTTTCAAAAATTTGCATTTTTAACAAATCGCTGTAACTTTTTTGCTATGGAAGATTTTCTATTTTTATGAAAACATTTCCAAAGCACCTTTTTACGTAGAGTTTTATGTACGGTGTCCATAGGCACTACTATCCAGAGGCACTAAGTCCGGCGGGCTCGACGGCCAACGGCTGGGATCTTGGTTATCTATTCAAATATTCTTGAAATTGGCTGCAAAAATTTGCTGATAACTTCAGTGTACTGAGGCGGTGCCTCGTCTTGCTGAAAAAATATATTTTTGAGTTCCATTAGAGGCATATCATCAATAAGGGGTCCATAGTCTACTAGTTAAAAATGGCGAATTTTTAAAAATCTATATTTCGAAGGGGACTATAACAAAATATCAAGTGTGCTATATTTTTGGACAGATAATTTTAAGTTATTTTCGGTTAATTAAAAATATACAGGGTGTCCCAAATAAAAAATCAGTTTTTCTGTTGATAAATCTTAAATTATTAATTTTAAAAAAATTACACTTAAACCATTAAATTCTACGTAAAAAGGTGCTTTGGAAATGTTTTCATAAAAATAGAAAATTTTCCATAGCAAAAAAGTTCCAGCGATTTGTTAAAAATGCACATCTTCGAAAAACACCCCGTAACTCCGAAACGGTAACAGATATCGCTGTTCGGTATTCACCATCATGTTTTTGATGAAAATTGAGCTCCAGACACCGATATTAGTTTTTGTCTATCTCCAATAGAAAGCGTCCCGAAAATTTCCCTTTAAAAGCGTAGATGTCTGCCTGAAGGATTGCTGGGTCCCATTCTTTATTTCATAATTTTCGCTTTTATTATAAATAAAACTAGAAGAATTGCAACAAAAAATTCAGATTAAACGGATAGCAATAACGGGTACGACAA